TAAAAACTTTAAAACACGCCTTATCTCGAGAGGCTACCCAGAGAGTATGGTAGAAAAGATCCTCTCAGAAGTTAAATATGCAGATAGAGCGACAGCTCTGACACAAAAACAGAAAGCGCAAAAAATACTTTTACCCTTTGTCACGCAATTTCAACCGTCATTACCAGGTTTGAAAAACATACTAATGGAAAAATGGCATTTAATAGAAAACCAGCCACTACTCAGAGAGATATTCAAGGAACCTCCCTTGATCTCTTATAGAAAAGGAAAGTCGCTTAAAGACATGCTTGTTAAAGCAAAACTGTAAAGGCTTATAACAACACAACGGTCACACAGCAGGAGCCGCGCAGGTCTGTCAACCCCATTTTACCAGATTTGGTTTGTGGTGTTACTATTTCTGGCCACGAGAGTTCTTCACTTTTTGCAGTTTCACATTCCTTCACACGGACCTATACAAAAATTTATCTTTAAAAAAAATAACTGGCACCGATACGCTCAAACATTGCCAAAGCTTAGGTCCAAGGATTTTATGAGATACCCTGAATGACTAGTTTAATTGTAAAGGTTACCCAAATAATAAATAGAGAGCTTTAGATTCGAGGACGAGGACGACTACGAGTACGAAACTTGACTTAAAGTTTTTTCATGTATTCTCAATATATAGACTACCCGGAAACTTCATTTTACCATTTTTCCCTAGAAAAGTTAGCACTGTTGTCTTTAGCGAAGGAGGCTACGCCCTCTCCCGATCGCAAAATGATCAAACTGCTAACATTTGATATATTGTTTCCCCTACTTTGACATTCGCTTTAAAACTCGTAGTAGAGTGACGACGGCTACCGCGTTTTCCCGCCAAATTACGCTGGTTCACGCGCGAGCACTACTTAGTACTCAGAAAATCTCGTACTCGTAGTCGTACTCGTCTTAGAATCTAAAGGTCTTTATTAAGACAAGGACGACTACGAGAACGAGATTTGTTCAAGCGTGCGAACCAACCGTCATTTTGGCGGGAAAATGTGATAGCCGTCGTCATTTTACTAGGAGTTTTAGCGAGAACGTCGTAGTGGCGAAAACAAGTCATCAACTGTTAGAAATTTTATCATTTATAGCGATCGGGAGAGGACTTTACCTCCTTCAACGGAAATAAATGAACTAACTTTTGTGGTAAAAAAAAAGTACACTATGATGCTTTCCGGGGTGTTATTTTTCAGAGAATAGGCGAGAAAACTTAAAATTAAATGTCGTCCTCGTTCTCGAATCAAAAGCACTCTAATAACACACATTTTGAGGCGTCAGAAACGGTGCGCGGGAAGAGAGTGAAGGGTAAGCGTTGACTCGTTTACAGTGCTGAGTAGATAACGAGAAAAACCTTGGAAATTGGGTCATTACTCAGTAGTGTTCTCTTTCTCTCGAGATACGATTCTATAAACCAAACGACCGAATGTTTTAGCACAAAAACTTGAGAAATCTATTTACGCCATTCTGCGAGTTTAGTTTCTCCAGGTATAAAGGTGTGAGACAATGACGTCATTGGAGACAATACAGCACACCTGCACCTGCAGATCAAAAATGACGTCATCGGCTACTGCACCCACACGCCAGCCACTGCAATTGAACACCTAGAGAGTCAGTAGCAAATTTTGCGGCATCTCAGTCTGTTAAATACATCAGTCAATTTCAGTTTTGCAAGAGTAGACTTCAAACATGGTGAAGTGCTAATCTTTCAGCAGAATGTTTTATCATGAAATATAAGGTCGGCATAACGTGCGCTATACAAACCTTCTGGTCTACTTTGCACAAACAAGTTCATCGTGGCCTTCTTGGTTCCTAAGCTGTTTGTTGCTACGCACTGGTACAAACCGCTGTCCACTGGTTGTAAATTCCTGATAGTTAGTTTACCTTCCTTAACCTCGGTAAAGGCAGGTAAAGGCAGGTAAAGGCATAACAAGTCTGATCCAGGTCAACTTGGGAGGTGGATACCCTTCTGCCTGGCAAGTTTCTTGTATTTCAGCGAATTCCATTTTTGAGGCCAGTGATGAGGGTTTTTTGGTAAAGATCGGAAGACCTAACAGACGAAGAATCAATACGATGTGGCTTGAAAAAGCTATAGTTTTTACCGGTCTTCCAAACTATAAACAGAATAGGCGGCTATGTGAGCTATGTGAGTTTTGGTGAGTTCAGTAAAAACCACATTATTAGTTTTGCTTGGGTACTTAAATTGAAGATTCTGGAATCATCCAGTTTGTTTAGTACGGAACTTCAAAATTTTTATAGTATACAGGATGTTGCTCAAAATCGTGTATGTAGAAATACCGTAAATCCTCGATTAAGCCCCACCCCCCCCCCCCCCCCCCTCCTCTGCTACTACTAATTCACACCCCACTCCCCCCCCCCCTTTCTTTTTAGCCAACTAAATCTCCTATCATCTCCTATTACAAATATAAAAAAAAAAAAAAATCCAAATATTTTTTTTTTGGTTCTTAAATTGAAGATTCTTGAATCCTCCAGTTTTTTTTGTAAGGGAATTTAAAATTTTTTTTGAATAAAGGAAGTTGCCCAAAAATGTGTATGAAAAAAAACCCTAAAACCCCTTTTAAGCCCCCCCCCCCCCCCCACCCCTTTTCAGGTGAAGAAAGTTAGTAAGCCCTCCTCCCCTCCCCCTTTTTATTGTTCACGAATAAATTAAAGACTATATTAATCAAAGGTATAGAAAGCAAGTAGCCGATAAATCGGTTCCTGAGGAAAAATGGTAAGGGTAGAGAAGCGGGAGAGAAAAAAAGAAATCTTTCAAAGACAGCAACTTCATTGCAAGAAATCTTCCTAACATCTCTTATTTCAGTGGCTGACTTGACAAATAAAGCTTGAGCTACGTTCTGATGGATCTCCCGCGAGGGTTTAATTCTAGCCGTTGCTTACGATCATCACGCACCCTTGGAAAGTGAAACTAGATACTGAGACAGGAAAGGGTACATTAGTTGTTTCCTGACAGGCAGTGATAAGTAATATACAAGATTAGAACACATCCTGGTCAGAATTTTTTTTGCAGCCTAAGCCTCTCATGTAACACACCACCCTTTTTATAATGACAGTTACCCTCCTGGACTTCATGCCCCTTCAATAGCAATGTAACAGGACCCTATTGTAAATCACATTTAATAAGATAAGCAATCAGCCAGGAAACATGGCCCACCTCTGACGCTGGTAACTAAATTCTGATGGCTCGTCAGCGGCCTTGCAAAAGGGTTTTCAATTTTCAAAGCAGTAAAGCTTATTGTACTTCTTACCTCGAACCTTCAAATTACCAGACGCCTCATACGATCCAAGAATGTTTCTTGCCGCACATTTGTACTGCCCAGCATCGCTGTAATTCGGATTCCTGATGATCAGCTCTGCTTTTTTAACCAAATACTTTGCTCCCGACAGAAGCTTTCTGCCCTTGAATCGCCATTCGACAGTAGGAGTAGGGTTTCCTCCAACCGTACAATAAATCGCAGTATTTCTTCCTTCATTTCTAGTATGATTTGCAGGTGATACCGTCACTTGTGGAGCAGATATTGATTCTCCAGGCCCCCCAGGTGGTCCTGGAATTCCTGGTTCGCCTTTGTCACCCTTTTCTCCCCTAGATCCTGGAAGTCCAGCCATTCCTGATTTTCCAGGTGGTCCAAAGCTACCTCGATTACCTTTCTTTCCCCTAGGTCCCCTCCTACCACGTGGTCCTTGTGCACCGATGGGACCAGAAAGTCTGGGGGGACCTGCAGGGCATACCCTCTCTTGTGACTTACAGTACTTGGAGGGCATTAGTTGTTCAAACTGTTTGGTGATTTCTTGACACACGTCATGCATATTGATGGTTGCTGAAGTCACGTTCAAAACCTGTCTCCGGTTTCTTGACTTTGCGCTTGTTCTTCAATCTTCTGACTCATCTGATAAAGCTAAGGGAAAAGCAAACTAAGTGCTGAGAAAATTTCCGCTGATATGATTGAGTCTTCGTCGGCACGAAATTCCATCGTCTTGTTTTCTTTAACGTTTGTAGCCCAACCACCACTTGAAAGCATTTTTTTTTTTTTTTAATGTCGTTTGCAGATTAAAATTCAAATTTGAGTGTAAAATTTATGACTTGATTGGATCTCATTTTCTCAAAGCCTCTGAATACCCAGCCAAAATTTCCCTGTACATTATTTGAGGACGAATTCGAAGGATCAATTTAAGAGCAAGTGATTTTCTTATGTAGCTGAGGATATAAGTTCCTCATTTCCCCATGTTTGAGTCGAAGTATAGACCTCTTTCATAATTGCGGCCTATTGATACATTCTTTTATCTGTATGATAATTAGTCTTTCTGGCCTCGTTTGAAAGTAAGAATTCTTTTGTATTTTGCACATGCTAACAAGGTCAGAAAGGCTAATTTTCATATATGTAAAAGCATATATTTTAATAGGCCGCAATTATGATAAATAGCTCTATGTGGAAATAAAACTATAATTAACCTTTCCTGTCATAGCATCATTAGTCATCTTGTCAAAGAATCAAAAAATTGAATCTAAAGGAAAGCAAATTTAACAAAAAAAAGTTTGATCTTGAAAAGATTTAACCCATCCGTTCAAAAAGCAATCCGCTGACTATCGCAAAACCCGAAGACATGAAAAAAGAAAAAAAATGAAACAGAACAAATTTTAGCTGTTCAGAGTAATAAAAAACTGCATGTATAGCTTCCCTTTTTGCGTAAAGGCTACAAGAGGCATCCTAATTCGGAAATATTCAGTCTGTCCGAACTGATTTGAGATTGGTTGAACAAAGTTGGCCTGATTGCAAGATTTTCAGTTCTTTAACGGAGGATACTTCATATTATTTTAATGAATTGTCCGCTTAACTTTTCTTTTACCTTTTGTTTAGGACTTATTAGCATATCGTCATTATCTACTTCAATAGCAATATACAAAGCAATATATAAAGCCGGTGGAGCATTGCTGTCTGCTCATAATATCCTTATAATATGCACGTATTGTTCAATGATTTGAACTTACAAGATTAAGCAAACAATTTTGAGACTCGAACACAGGGTCACGTAACTCGCCCACATAATATTCGGTATAAGCTTCCTGAGATATTTCAGGAAAATGTCAATCGGGGGTGTGCGACATACCGCAGAACTGAAACATTACCCGTTTCTCAAGAGACACATCATAAAAGAGCATACCGATTTCCAGGCCCTGGTTCCAGCAAGCACAAAATTTTGCCCTATTTCAGTCCAAAAGGTAGGAGCTAAAAACCATTCCCGCTGGCTCCGCAAACGCTTGTATGGCTTATATGTAATTCCCCAAATAATAAGCTTAGTTAAAAAAAAAAAATGAGGGAAATTTTTTTGTACTCTAATGATCTAACCCCTAACCTGATGTATCGCTGAACTTCCTTTCTCTCTGAATTTTCATTAAAAGATTTCTCGTGGAATCTTCTTTTGGCCTACGAGTCGTTCTTTCACTATTTTCCGTAGTGCAGCCGGTATCAACAAGAACCACTGGAGACATGTTGATGCGCGTTTCCAATGTTATCAGTCGCTCGTTGGTTGTTTCATTCCTCACCCAGAGACATCCGCAAGCAAAAAGTAGCACCACTGAAAGAAAAGATGGCCTAATTGAAGGGAGGAAATCAACGAATCGATGGGACTTCGAAGAGTTAACCGAAGCCAT